GCAAGGACCGTGAACAGTGGTGGGCGACAAAAGCCAAAGAGATGGAGAAAGCTTGAGGATAGGCAACACCAGGCAACTCTTTGGACTCATCAGGGAAACGGGTGGGAGAAGACAAATCATCAGTGAGACAATCTCGGAAAAAAATGGCACTATAATTAGCTCCAGGATAGACGACTGGATCGTTGGAAAGAGCATTATGAGGAGCAGTTTAATTTGCCCACAGCCACGCTCAACCTTCCGAGCATCCAACACCTCCCTGAATGGGATATAGACACAGGTCCTCCGTCACTAACTGAGGTTACTAAAGCTGTCACCAATCTGAAACTAGGCAAAGCAGCGGGACCTGATGGAATGACTCCAGAGGTATTTAAGTACGGTGGAGACAGCTTACTGTCCGGATTAACTGAGGTACTAGGCAGCGTCTGGGAATCAGAAGAAGTCCCATCGGGTTGGTGTAAGTCACTGATTATCCCCATATACAAGAAGGGAGACAAGTCTTCCTGTGATAATCACAGAGGGATTAGCTTGACTAATATAGTATCTAAAGTCTTAGGCTCAATAATCATGCGTAGACTGAGTGGTGCTCGGGAAGCACAAACACGAGAGAGCCAGGCAGGCTTTAGACCAGGAAGAGGGTGTATTGATCATATCTTCACCCTCCGACAGATTCTAGAACATAGGCATTCCTACCGGCGTCCAACAGTCATTATATTTCTTGACCTAAAGGCAGCATTCGACTCTGTCGATCGGGAAGTTCTCTGGAGATGCTTGGCTGTAAAGGGAATTCCGAGAAAATATATTGCACTGATTAAGGCACTCTATTCGTACTCATACAGCCAGGTGAGGGCTTACGGCGAGCTGTCATCTGAACTGATGACGACCAGTGGTGTCCGTCAAGGATGCCCATTATCTCCTTTTCTATTCAACTTCATCATAGATGTGTTAATGGACTTAACCCTAGGTGACTTCAGCGACTCAGGGATTGACTTGCTACCGGGGAATAATCTCGTTGACTTGGAATATGCAGACGATATAGTCCTTCTAGGCGAAGACGCTGACGAAATGCAGAGTCTTCTAAACACCTTGAGCCGCAATCTACGAATGTTTGGCATGCGATTCGCTCCCGCCAAATGCAAGATGATGTTACAGGACTGGACTACATCGACGCCTAGTTTAAAAATAGGAAGTGAAGTGGTAGAGCACGTTGACCGCTTCACTTATTTGGGAAGTACCATCAGCCCCAACGGGCTGATCTCTGACGAAATCTCAGCACGAATACAAGGGGCTCGTTTCGCATTTGTTAGTTTACGCCGACTCTGGCGTAGACGAGATGTTCGACTATCGACCAAAGGGCGGGTGTACTGCTCATCAGTCCGCTCCGTCCTCCTTTATGGTTGTGAGACCTGGCCACTGAGAGTGGAAGACATGAAAAGACTAGCTGTCTTTGATCATAGGTGCCTGCGTTCTATTTCCCGTGTAAAGTGGCATAATAAGGTGAGCAACATGGAGGTTAGGCGTAGAGTTCTAGGTAAACAGGGGAAATCAATCGACGAAGTCGTGAAGCTACAAAGACTGAGATGGTTAGGACATGTGTTACGTATGCCAAGCCATCGCCTCCCTCGACGAGCAATGTTAGCGGATATAGGGTCAGGCTGGAAAAAAGCTAGCGGCGGTCAAACAAAAACTTGGCATCAGTCAATGAAATCCACAACAGTTGGTCTAAGCCACGTAGGAAGGTGTAGACTTCCAGGCTGGGGTCCTCGGGACGGTAAAAATCTATGGTTGGAAACAATTGGTGACATGGCTCAAAATCGTTCTCAGTGGCGCAGATGCATCCACTCCCTGTGACTTATGATCTCCAATGAAACTGTTTTGTATTTCTTTATTACTCCTTTGTCTCACACCTCTGCTCACTGTTTCTATTATGCTTTTCTTGTACTTTCTTCTCTTGCTTCGCGTGCTACACGGAATGTGGCGACTTGAACTTCCGCACATTTGTGCAAAGTTCTATGTCGAAAACAGACAGACAGATTTGTTCTTCTTAGCCTTTATCTATTACGCCTGTCTGAATATTTCTGTTTGTATAATGATGACGCATTATCTTTATTATTACAAATTGTTACATTTTCTTATCTTTGTTATTAATAGAATTATTACTATTTTTATTATTATTAGTGTTGTGATGACTAATTGTATGAATTGTATGCGGTCTTATCATCCTATTGATAAATTATCATGAATGGTCTATATTTAATATTAATTTGTAAAGTTATGCATATTAGAGTAAAGCTTGATACGTAATTCGTAACAACATTGTTCACTTACATGTGATTCTCGAGGGGGGAGAAAGAGAGAAAGAGAGAGAGAGAGAGGGAGAGAGAATAAAAACAATCTGTGACGAACAATAAAGAACGCCTACACGTTACGTCACTCAACGCAATTCACAAAACGAAAAATTATTCGAGCTACTGAGATATTAAACTAACTGAAATATCGCCTTGTTAACTGTATGGGATAATCTCTCATCTGTTTAACGAAGAAAATACTACTCATCAGTAATAAATTCATTCTTATTATGGCTTTGAGGATGAATCTCGTCGTAAACGGATACATCATTCAGACTACCACTGAGAACCATTGAGTACTGAACACGTATTTCGTCCCAGTTTGGGACTCTTCAGAAGTACACACATCATGAGGTCTAAACTATAAGCAGCTCTAGTTTATGAGGGGAATGTATTATCATCCGGAGATTCAACAACCCAGAAATTCTAACGTCTATCAATTTGTGATGTATCACCATTGGGCATCTGTCCTAACCACTGACTTAATGGACCCCATATTAGTCAGGACTTTTCAGTAGATCACCAGAGTGCTCATCCCGTAAGGGGTCACCATTAAGCGGTTAAATAAACTCTATCTCATTAAACAAGTTAGTAAATTTCAATATTGAGTTATATCTAAATTTAGTATTCAGGGTCTAAATATAGGCAAAAAGGCACTTAAATTGAGATATAACAGGCTCATATAGATAATGGAGAACTTTGTGGGTTGATTGCTACTTCCTGACCACTGGTACTGTTGAAACCGAATTCCTTTCAAGTATATCTGAAACAAAGAATACTGATCTCACATAACTGCACAGCCCAGAGGAAGATGGTTTCACGTCTCACTATACAAGCTCTATTTGGAGACGGCGTTTCTTTCTCCACCGCCACCTGTCGTGCACCGTCATATAACGATTCCTAATGTTCGGTTTCTGAAAGCAAAAACTTTCCTTAACCTCTTTTCTTAGAAGCAGAAGGGTAGCAAAGCTATGCTATTGGTTTTCTGAAGAAAAGGCATCAGTGCATCTGCAACCACTTTTACGCAATATACAATTTCCGCCTAATAGCTGCACCATAATTGAAGTAATTTATGCTATGATGCAACCTGCATTTATTTTGACTACTACTCATTCAACATTCTTTCCCTTGGTAGGATAAGCTGTAACATTTCTAGTCAGAATACTGCGTTGGAATCATTGAGATATAAAAGCTGGACAATCACAATCAAGTGGATGGTGATTTCATAAAGTACACATAATGAGTACGTCGGTGGAACAGTGGTTAGGACTCTCGCCGACTATGCAAATGGTCTGAGGTTCGATCCCCTGCCGATGCACACCTGATATCTATGGTCGGCCTGTAAAATTTGGGTTACCGTTATCACATGTTGAAAATTCCATGCTTGTACCAAAAATAAGGTGTGGAATCAAGCTGTAATAAAAAAATGACAGCTGGTTACGCAAACTTTGGTAGGTAGAGTAGTGAGCTTTGTCACGTGACTCAATACTTGGAAAGGAGGCACTACAGTCGTATTTGTAGAAATTATCAAGGTGGGGGCGTATGCATATAACACCTTCGCAGCTTACACAAAACCATGAAGCTGTGTATTACCCTATCGTCCTTAACAGATTTGGCAATATAAGTCTAGAATAACAAACACCATCGGGACTTCTGATAGGCTAGGCAGCCCAACGAGATAGTATTTGTCGTTATTCTTCGCACAATAAGTGTGGTAGATTGGATTGTAAATGAAAAAACCCTGTTCCAGGTACCTGAGTTCTAACTAACCTATATTATTATTATTATCTTCAATATTAAACTTATAGATTTCTTGCAGAATCTTCAACGGCTTTTCTAACTTTAATTTTAAAATCATGTTTGTGATCAGATGAATTTATTCCCTTTAGATTTAATTTAACAACCATTCCTTTTCAGTATCATCTTTTTAGAAGGACTTAGCTTGCGCACTGACATCCTCATTTATTGCTACTTGTAATTTCCCGTTGAAATATCTGAACTGAATTATTTAGGCTCATTTTGACATACTTGGGCTTTTAGAGCGATTAATGCATCTAAGTTACTTGTTTGGTAGTAGCTAACAGTAGAATCAAAGACTGGCGGTGCACACAGGAGCTGGTTGTCGTGACCCAGTAGCCTAGTGAATAATGCCTTGACATCTGAAGTTATAGATGCTGGATTCAATCAAGTCTCACTAAGTCTGTCTGTCTCTGTCTGTTTCCGACATAGAACTTTGCACCGATGTACGGCAGTTAAAGTCGCCACACTCCCTCCATGTATCACGCAAAGCAAGAGAAGAAGATAGAAATCCTTAATAGAGACAATAAACAGAGGTGTAAGACAAAGAAATAGAAGTAACGAAGAATAATGTAGTTTCGTTGGAAATCATAAATCACAAGGAGTGGATGCATCTGCACCAGCCATTGAGAACAATTTTGAGCCATATTACTAATTGTTTCCCGCCTTTATTGGTGTTTACCGTCCCGAGGACTCCAACCTCACCATCACTCACTGAGGTTGCAGGTACATCTAGCTGATGAGTCTCGAATTCGGCGAAACACATGTTGTGAATTCTACTGCTAATTATCACACTGAACAAGTAAATTCATATCCTTATTTCTTCTCAAGTATCTCACAAGATTTATTTCTTTACAGTATGATGATGCTTCTGAGGTAAGTGAAAAAAGCAGAAGTAAAATCCTCTCTGCTGGTTAAATTTTTAAGTCTTAGCGCATTTGACGTGATCAGCGATAATAATAATAATAATAATGATAATAATAATCAAAATTACAACTACATAGCTAATTTCATCATAGCATAACTGCTGATAATTCATGATTACTTGAGTACGCAAGCCTCTTTATTCTACTACATGTTGTGATTCGCTTTTGACTTGGCAATATTTACACTAATTTTTCTTTCGCTTGGTGCTTAAAATGTGAGTATTTTTTTCTTTCGTTATAAACTCTCTAATTCTTTTCTAATTTTATAACCTTGTCGTTTAATTTAAGGCTGAAGATTACATATTGACTAGATTAGAGACTGCTTACATTCTGCTGCTGGTTTTATATTTGTCATCTTTCTTCTTCAATATGTTGTACTATGATTGACTTTAATAGTTCAGATGTTGAAGATATGGTTCATTGTCTTGTTTGGAATCTTGGTCAACCTGTCTTAGTCTTGTGGAGGTGGGGAACTGGATAGTATCATCATCATTATCATCCTGGAATCTGTTACAGGCAGCTGAGTTCTAATAGCAATAACAACAACTGACTCAATTTATAGTCTGTAGACTTACTATCCATTCTGGTATTTTCATGCTTTTCGATTAATGAGTTCATTTCAGAAAGTAGAATTTATTGCGAACACATTATTTTACTTATGATCTAATGTATCAGTTGGTTAAGTTATTTTACTCTATTCTTCGATTAGTTGTATTGGACAAAAAAATTCGCTGTGTTTGTTGACAAGTCGCTTACCAGTAGCGACTTTCTGGTCATGTTATTCTGAAGGTAGAGGGAAATGATGCTCAGGAAGGCTTCATGTGTTTTTGAAAGTGTGTGGGCGGTTGTTACTTCCCGGCTGCCCACACTGTGGAAGTTGCTTGGTTCATCGGGTACCTGAAACAGAGAAAGGGTTAGTGTTGCGTGACCACAGAGCCCAGGGAACAGCTGCTTGTGACAGGCCACGCACAGCCTGTATGAACTGGTTTCTTGGTTTGATTCCGTATTAGTAAACTTACCGCCGGTTACGGACCACTGTAGGGTAAGTTGGGATGTACAATTTTCGGCGTCAACCTTTTCTAACACCCTCTGTCCGGGGTGGAGAAACAGCATAGCTGTCTGGCATGCTGGTCATCTGACGGAAACATATCACTGCTGTTGCAGCCCTGTTCCTCAGAAGTACGAATTCGCTCACAGACCCCCAGCATAGTGTAAGAAAAATTCTTACACTAAGCCGGTAACTGCTTTTAGTCTTATCGCTATCCTAACAACTTTTTTGGCATGGTAGGACCTACAGAAACACTGGTTTCAGCCAGTGTAGCTTGTTGGGTCATCGCTATGTGCAAACCAGACAACCACGTCAAGGTAGCAGCTATCGGTCGAGCAGAGAACCAGGCAGGCTTTAGACCAGGAAGAGGGTGTATTGATCATATCTTCACCCTTCGACAGGTTCTAGAACATAGGCATTCTTACCGGCGTCTAACAATCACTATATTTCTTGACCTAAAGGCGGCATTCGATTCTGTCGACTGATTCTGGCAATTGTCTTTTAGATAACGCCTTGGCGTTTGAAGCGATGCGTATTGGGTTTGAATCTCATTGGGAACATCATCACTCTCTGAGAGCCTAAGTACATTCGTCTGACGAGTAAAACACAGGACGACACACGTGAATTTTGAATTCGTTTGCAAGCCACCACCATCCAAACTATCATGCGCGTCGGTGACACAGCGGTAGAATGCTCGCCAACCACGCATGTTGTTCGGATTTCGATCCCTGGTCGACGCACTTATTTACCTCGCTTAGCCGGTAATCAAACTGGTGAAGAGGGGAGGTTAGGCTTGAGGCTAGCAACCTCATCTCGTAAAAGTAAACACCACTGGTTCCGAAATTTCGAAACTGGTTTGAAGCTCTATGTCCCACTAGGAATGTAAATGAGGAAAAAAATCCAGGCTATCAGTCCTACATTTTATCAAGCTCAAATTCAGCAAAAACTTTGAAAACTTATATACTTCCTTGTCCAAGTAGACTTTCTTCAAAGCGAGACATTTAGGCCTGTTGATTGTTTTATTTCACGTAGAATGCAAAAGGCGAGAAAAGATACTTTTTCTGTGTAAACTCTTTGTTGACTAGTATACGTTTACGCAAAACTGTTAATATGACGATGAATTTTTTTTGCAATAGTCGAGTCTTGTAGCTCAGTCAATGGAGTTCCATACTAGTGTAACAACAGAAGACAAGGGCGAAGCAACAGATCGTTTTATTATGAAAATCAACACGTATTTATACATCTTTCAACTACATTATTATAGACAAGCGCAGTCATCTGATTGGTTGTTTAGGTAGACAAACGCAGGCTTCTGATTGGTTGTTTCGGGATTCCTTGACAAATAAAAAAGAGAGCGCGAATCATATTTTGCCACGTTAACTTTGCTGTGATTGGTTGTTGACTCAGGCTTGTTCATATTTTCTCACGGCCCATATTAGTGACCTAGACCTTAACGTAGATTAGTGCCAACCAATCGGCTAGCAGCCTGCTCTCACCACACTCGTCCCCCCGTCAAATAGCTTCGTGCGCAGACGTTCCGACCTTCTGGGTGCTACATCCTCTAGTTGAGGATTGTTACTGACCGGCTTGTCCCACTGTACCCATCTTTGGAGCTGACTGGCGTTAACTCGTTTCTGTTTATCACCTCTTCGGATGGTATATACTTGACCCCGTCTTTTTGTGATTGTGTATGGTCCTTCCCACTTTGGAAGGAGTTTCCGTGAACCTAGCCCGCCTCCAACTGTATATCTCCTGTCTCTACACTTCACTTGGTCCCCGACTGCAAAGGTAATGCACTGCGTCCTTTCTTTCATCTGAGACTTCATGACATCACTGCGCTGCTTCCGTATTACATTCTTGACTGCCTCTTTCCTCTCTGCTTTTAATTTCGTCGTACTCCACTTTTGGTGCATGGGCCAGGTCTCATTGTGTACCGGTAATCGTGGTTTTCTACCATACATCAGTTGGAAGGGTGACTTCTTCGTTGTTTCCTGAGTGGTAGCCCGATGTGTTAGTAAAATCAGTGGAAGCTCCGTTTCCCAGTTCCCGCCCTTCGAGGCCAGCCACTCCTTCAGTGTACGGTTGTTTCTCTCCGTTAGGCCATTCGTTTGTGGATGGTATGGGGTCGTTCTGATCCTCTTGATGCCCAGCTGTTGCAAACGGGAAGTAAACTCTTCACTCTCGAAACAGGGACCTTGGTCTGTCAGTATTGTCTTCGGTACGCCGTGGTCTGCAACAATGTGTCTAACTACTGCATCTGTCACGGTTCTTGCACGTTGGTCTGGGATTGCTACGGCGTCTACCCATCGTGTCGCGTGTTCCGTCATTACCAAGAGGTACTGATTACCATTGGATGTCTGAGGAAATGGACCCATGACATCTACGGACCACAAGTCACCTATCGCGGTAACTGGAATCGACTGAAGTGGTGGTCGTATACACCGGTCACCTTTCATCAGCTGGCACCGTGGACATCCAAGTACGTATCTTGCTACGTCTTCTCTCATACCTGGCCAGTACATACTTTGTCTTAGGAGATCGGTCGTTCTGGCCACGCCTGTATGCGCTAGCTGGTGACATTCTTCTATCATGTCGTGGCGCGACGATTGAGGTATGACAGCCAGCCAGCTTCCGTCGTTCTCTCGCCAGGTCAGAGTCCCGTAGGCATTCACTCTGAGTCGATCCCTCTGTCTGAGTAGTGTGGTTAGCTCCTTACTCGCCGTAGTTTGATCCACTTCTATTCCGTTGGTGATCACCTGTATTACTGTATTCAGCGTATCGTCCAACCTCTGCCTACGTGCAAGTCTTAGTGGGTCTTGTTCTACTGCATGCACTCCGTAAGCGACCTCGGGCAACTCAGACTCATCTTCTGGTCTCGATAACAAATCTGCCAAGACATTTTCACTTCCAGGAACGTGTGAGATCGTAAAATCGTACTCCTGAAGACGCAACATCCACCGTGACAACTTCCCCCGTGGGTCTCTCGCTGTCTTCAAAAATTGTAGCGGCTTATGATCAGTTTCGATGTGGAACCGCCGGCCGAGTAAATAAGGTCTCCATTTGTCGACTGCCCATACCATTGCTAAACATTCTTTTTCTATCGTTGAATACTTTCTCTCTGCGAGTGTCAAAACCCTACTGGCATACTCAACGATTCCCTCGTCCTGTCTTAGGACCGCACCTATAGCGTAGTCACTGGCATCTGTGCACACTGTGAACTGTCTTCCTGGCACAGGTAGTTTTAGCGTCATTTGTTGGTGGTCGAGCAGCTGTTTAATTCTGTCGAATGTCCTCTGCGATTCTTCCGACCAAACAAACTTTGGCTCACCTAGTAGCCTGTATAGAGGGGCTGCTATCTCATTGAAGTTCTTCACGAAGCGGCTATAAAACGCTGCTCTACCCAAGAATTGTCTCAGTTTTCTCTTTGAATTCGGGGCTGGAATCGTTTTAATCGTCAAAATTTTCTCCGGCAGTGGTTTAATCTCACCATTTCCCACTTTATGTCCCAACAGAGTAACATTCTTTTTGGCTATCTGGGACTTGGTTTTGTTGACGCGTAGTCCAAACTCTTCGATGCGTCGCAGCACGGCTTCTACATGGTTGACGTGATCGTTTTCGTTTTGACTGTATATGACGAGATCATCACCATAAACCTCCACGTTTTTCAAGTTCCTAAGTAATAGCTTCATCAGTCGTCTGAACGTAAACGGTGCACCTGCTAGTCCAAACGGCATGCGTTTAAATCGATATTGTGTCTGACCCACGATGAAAGCCGTCTTATCTCTATCACCTTGTTTTATCGGTATCTGCCAGTATCCTGAGCGAAGATCGAGAACCGAAAACACATTCGCGCCTTGTAGGCGATCTAAAGTTTCTACCACTGTTGGCATGGCACACGGTCTTAACTCTGTCATACTGTTTAACTGTCGAAAATCAACACAGAATCTATACTTCCCATTCGCTTTTTTTACTAACAGCACTGGAGAGTTGTACGGGCTATCAGCTTCCTCAATAATGTCATCTTTTAACATCTCTTGCACTTGTCGCTCCACTTCGCCTTCCAGATGACATGGAACTCTTCGCGTTGTAAATGACCTTACTTTCGGATCACTTAACGGAATTTCATGATTCACCTTATCGCAATAACCGTATGGGTCGCCATCTCCAGTGAACAGATGATCGTATTTACTAATTAACTCTGTCACATTGTGTACCGTCGGCAGCTTAATCGCTGCTATCTCGCTGGTCTCATAATAATAAAATAAAAAATTTTTCCTTCACGTTCCCAGTGGAACATAGGGCTCCAAGCTAGTGGCTTGAAGTTTCTGTAGCAGTGTTTAATTTTTACAGGATGGGGTTGCTAGCCTCATGCCCAACCTTTCCTCTTTAACGGCATTATTTCTGGCTCAGTGAGGTAAAGGAGTGCGCCGGCCGGGGGTCCAACCCGGACCATATGCATGGTCGGCGAGCGTCCTAACCGCTATACCACCGACGCACATACATGTTGATATGCCCGTATTTCGTGACCACCACGTTCGCTTGCGTGTCGATTATGGCACCAATCTCACGCAGAAAATCCGCTCCTAATATCGTTCGCTGTAGTTCGGGTACAACAATGAAAGGAAACGTCACCTCGCAGCCACCAACAACGACCGTACAGTTCGATCTACCCGTGATACGCAACACATACCCGCCTACTGTTTGTACTGTCAATGAACACGGGCTAACACTCTTACATAAATTCTTATCTATTAACGACACGGCCGCCCCTGTATCTATCAAACATACTACTTCTCGATCATTCACTCGCAACTTCGAATACAGAGCGCCTTTCTCAATAGCCCCCACTAAATCTAGGTTCATACGAAAGAAAGAACAAGCATTATACCGTCTGAAATTTTTTCTTTTCCGCCTTTCTGGGCAGTATCTTCTCCAGTGTCGCGGCTTACCGCATTCAAAACACCGGTCTTTTCTATCAGCCAACTTTAACGCCGCCACTTCCCGCTGCAATGCTTCAATTTTCTGCTCATACTCGTTTGGTTTTGGTTGGTCTATAGCGGCTACCGTTGTGCTCAGCAGCTGTCTGGTAACCTTCGCCAGCTCGCTAATATCCATCGGCTGCGTTGCGTTAACCAGTTGTAATCGCTGAGAAATGTGGTCTGGGACACTCTCGATGAATTGGGAAGACAGTAACTGCGCTTCTGATTCTTCATCTAAAGTGGGAAGTGCGCGTCGAAGTAGATTAGTCAGTTTCACCGCCAACACTAGCGGGTCTCCATCAGGTCCAAGCTTCATTGACCGGAACTGCTGCATTGCTAGCTGTCTGTCTGTTTCGCTGTCAAACTCGGAAACTAGTCGTTCAACCAATTTCTTCCAAGACGCTGTGCCATTTGACCTGTCTACGCTGTCATATGCAGCCTTCGCTCGGCCTCTCAACAGCGTCCCCAAGACAACTGCCTTCGCTGCCTGCTCCTTGACACCCACCAGCTCAGCAACAGCCTCGAAGTCACGTAAGAAGCTCCTTATGTCTCCTTCTTCAAACGCAGCTGGCCACGGGATCTTCATTTTCTGGAGGCAGCGACACCAAATGTAACAACAGAAGACAAGGGCGAAGCAACAGATCGTTTTATTATGAAAATCAACACGTATTTATACATCTTTCAACTACATTATTATAGACAAGCGCAGTCATCTGATTGGTTGTTTAGGTAGACAAACGCAGGCTTCTGATTGGTTGTTTCGGGATTCCTTGACAAATAAAAGAGTCCGCGAATCATATTTTGCCACGTTAACTTTGCTGTGATTGGTTGTTGACTCAGGCTTGTTCATATTTTCTCACGGCCCATATTAGTGACCTAGACCTTAACGTAGATTAGTGCCAACCAATCGGCTAGCAGCCTGCTCTCACCACACTAGTAATCCTTAAGCTGATGCATTGAATCGTGCTACAAGCTAGATTTTCATTCTACCTTCACACATTACACTAAAATGTATATAGTATCGTGTGTTCATAAGATGGCTTATGCTTTAATTTCTAAGGTTATTTTCTATAAACATGAAGATAGAACACGTCTACTCAGTTTTACAGGTTAGAATGAAGGTTGACAGTGAAGAGAAAAGATAACTCAAAAAGACGATAACATCTCCATCAATGAACTTGAAATAAAGCAATTAAAAAAACACATGAAGCAAGATAAAATGGGCGGTGATGTTGTGGGTGTGTACTGATGAAGAGTCCCAGACCAGGACGAAACAACTGTCTAGTAGTTGCTGACAACCACCATGCACTCCAAGATTGTAGATACACTTTGCTAACAAGTACCAACTTGTGATATCGAGGGCTTTGTGTCGATTTCTCCCAACCAGATAATACTAGTTAATTGGAGGAATAAAATATCCAACAATAATTAGAAATAAACATCCTACGTATACAATGAGCCTGTAATGAGTTTCTTTCTACTTTTTGGTAACTCAGCTTTGAAATTTTGATTCGATATATATATGCTGACTGACTATTATTCACTCTCTTACTTGGTTACGTCATCATTATTTATTAGACTATATGCTTCATATATGAGAATTTAACTAAATGCGTTCAAGTTACCATATATATTTTGACATTTTTTAACGACTTACGTAAGCCTATAGTCGTATATCTTTCAGTATCACGTTATTTTTGCCTGTTTTTTGGGAAAACTTCCATATATATATATATTTATATTGTATTGGTTCGTTATATCTGACTAGCTTAACGATCGGTCTTTATGCCATACATATATGCTTTGTTGTACAGGTTATCATACATTTCGTCTCTCCGACGGGTTGAAATTTGTTGAAATAGTTATAAAAAACTAATTTAGACATGATTTTGTCTTCTAGAAAATCCAAATTACTTTTATTATTCAGGCTTTATGCAGTTGTCTATTAAAAAATGCCGATGTAATAAGATAATTCCTCTTATACCCGACTTCATCTCTCGTTATCATTAGCCTTCTATTTATGATCTATTTGTATAGTGAATTAATACTTTTCTATATTAGTCATATTAAGAGTTGTGTGATTCAATGTTGTTGACTCTATTTCTTTTATGTGTCTATACGCATACCGAAAATAATTTTTAGCTAGCCTATGGTTTGAAAGTAAGTGTATACTACTTATATGTGTGCTGTTTGTTTGCTTTCAAAATGGAAATTTTCCTTGTATGTACCTTTTTGATCTATGCATGTTTTGTTCTTCTTCGTCTCCTTTTCGCCCTCTTTTTGAGATGAATAATTTGTCCAGCTGTTTTTCTAATCAGGTTATCATTTCACTGTAATCGTTACTAGTAGTAGTAGTAGTAGGTAGTAATGCCCCAGCTGTTATGCGACTGAATTAATGATGATAATAATTCCATTTGTTAGTTCAGTATCTTGGGCACTGTGGTAGGATGTAATCCCATATTAGATAAGTTTACTTTTAAATAGGGCACAGTGATACAGTATTAACAATTGGATGACACAGTTTCCAGCATAAATTATCGCCATTTTTATAATCCTTTCAATTTAGTACCACGGTTTCACATATATATATATATATATATATATATATATATATATATATATATATATATATATATATATATATATTTCTCCCCCTATTCTGTCCATCCAACTTCCTATTGTTGTTTGTCGTCACTTTCCATATCTCCGGTATAGGCGTTGCGTCATTCTGATTGCATGTGTGCGGTGTTGAATCGATAAACAAAGCTTCAGGGATTAACCTCAATCACCACTTAGCTATGTTACTTTTTAATGCACTCATCCTCTCCCATCCTATTTTGTGTGATTGCATGCAAATGAATGCAGTGCAATGGCTGAGCATTTTCCTAGGTTATTTGACTTAGCAGGGACAATTATTCTAGGTCTGGTTATATTTCTATGTTCCGAAAATCTAGTTGACCGTGATCTGCTAGTGTGACCCATGTAATTGACCTCACTAACAGTTATTACATGGTATTTGGTAGATTAATATTACTTTTCCTAATTGAATCTATCGAGTGGGTCCTTAAGCCGACAAAGTTTATCTCTGAGATAGTTAGTTGGTTGGTTGGTTTAAGTGCCACCCCAATCCCAGCCTCATTGAGAATCTTACATAAGGCCTTTGATATTCCTTCTTGAAACGGCAGTATCACAGAGCCTTTAAATTCTATATTATTTTCGTCATTTCTATTACTGATCTTATTTTTTCTATGATACTTCTCATATTTTTGAATAAATTCTGGTGGGTAGTTATTCACTAGACGTAGAATGATTGACCCTGTTAAGTTAAATAACCTGCAAAAAAGCCCAACCATTGCATTACCTTCACTTGGATGCAATCACACAAAATAGAGTGGGACAGGGCGAGAGCTTTAAAAAGTAATATGGTTAGGTGGAGACAGAGGTTAACCACTTAAGCTTTGTTTATCGGTTCAACTTCGCGCACGTACAGCTGGAATGACGCAACGCCTATACCGGAGATATGGAGAGTGACGACAAACAACAATAGGAAGTTGGATGGACAGAATAGGGGGAGAAATATATATAAGACAAATTGTGAAACTGTGGTACTAAATTGAAAGGATTATAAAAATGGTGATAATTTATGCTGGAAACTGTGTCATCCAATTGTTAATACTGTATCACTGTGTGCTATTTAAAATAAACTTATCCAATACAATGCGATCATACGTTTTCATTTCATTTCTTGCATTCCGAGTGAAACATTGTACGCTTCAAGATTGAGCTTTATGCGGTTTGAGTAGCACTGGGGGCACTAGCCTCATGGCTAACCTTCCCTTTTTTGGGAAGGTTATTTTTGGGTAAGCGAAGTTTGTCGGAGTACGTTGGCTGGGAATTACTCCTGACGATTATATTGAAATGTTTACCTAGTAGTAGTAGTAGTTTATAGGTGAAATAATTAATTGTTCTATTTTACGGGTGCTTTTTGGTTACATACGTGTATCGGCTATGTGTTACTGTGTTATTGTGCATTTTTAGAAAAATCTGTGTATGAATACTACTAATGCTTACGTATAATTTGATAATAATGATTTGAAGTTGGCTTGTTTTTGATTCCTAATTTGATTTCACCTACTTTGTTTTTCTTTGCTTTTCTTTAAATACCCTGGTGTGTGTGTGTGTGTGTTTGTGTTCGCTAAAGTGAGTGCTATTGATATATGTTGAGTTGTACTTTTAGTTTTATTTCTAGTTTTCCCCCGACCGTTTTTATGCGTAACAATATTCTTTTTGACAACTTCTTCACGTCCTACGGTTAAATGTCCATATTAGATGAGAAATGAAACGGAATTTGCAACGTAGAGAACTTTGCACAGAAAAGTTTTGCAGCGATTCAAGTTGCTTTACTTCATAAAGTACACATGATGCTAAGGAACAAAAGCAATTACCAGTAAACTATCATAAAAGGAGATTTACACGAGAGAGAGGTAAAGAGGGAATAAAAATGAGAATTCAAGGAATCTGGACAGTTATGAAAGGTGAATACATCTGCGCAATTACGAGTGATTTTGAGCTACAGTGTCAACAGTTTTCAAACACTGCTTTTTGTCATCTATAGGACACTAGCTAGGCAGCCTACATCGTCTCCCTAAACCAAAGGTGATGGACTTTAAGGATTGATGTAGTCTTTTTGTTTCACTACCTCTAATTCATTTACAGCTTGATCTTAAATCAGCTAATATTCCTGAACGAGGAGGAGGTCGATGTCATGAAATGTGCAGCATTAATCCACATGGCATAGCATGGAATCATTACGATCAAAAACATCCTCTGAGGTGTGTATGAGTCAACTGTTGGTAGATTATAGTTAGGAACAAGTGTGAGGATGTGGTAATACGCATAAGGGAATTTAGCACTAAATTGATTGGTAGATATCGTAGTAAATCATCGTGAATGACAGTGAATATATATACCCCAGTGATTAACAAGCATTTTTAGACAAATGATATTATTACTATTCATCCTTTGGTTTCATACTGAAATATATGACTTCAGTATCACTTCTCCATTTCACTGTGCTCTGTACTGTCTTGTTGTAGCTCCTTCCGAGTTCTTCCGTAAGCTTTCAATACCTCTTCATACGGTCTCCTCGCTGTCACCCCGGACGCCCAAATGGTCGTTCTCCATTGAGGTTCCACCTGAGGGTCTGGAGCGTGTTATCCCCTAACCATCTTCTCAGTTTATGTCAAATCCATCACTACTTACTTCTGCATATTTTTGGGGCAGTAGGTTCTTGGTTGGCTCGTCGCTATATTCCCTTGTTATATATGCTTTCTAGTTGACTATTTAATCTTCAGCATAGAGTCAGAGAAGACAGTTGTCAATGTATATCTGCAGCAGGTTGTTGGACATACTTTTCTTGACTCACGCACCAAATCTCTAAATCAATAATTTGTCTTAGTTTATATTTTCTGTATCATTTAACCCTTTTATGTATTAATTTACTTGTACTTCAGAAAGTTAAGTGCACTGCGATGTTGACTCACCTAGTTTTGTGACCACGCTGTAAATTTGTCTGGTAGAATTCGGTTAGCAACAAGAATAATAGAATTATGGCACTGCTTTCTCCCTAGGGTCCCATCAGTGTGTCCATTACAGTCCTGCAGCAAGTCAGTTGTGAGTGTGAATAGCTCGTTTCTGATGGTGGCACCATGTGACACGGTTTTGAACTCCGGGATATGAATTCTCTAGAAATTGCAGATATACGTTTCCGGATGGGTGCCAACAAGTAGGTAACCTAGGTGTAGGGAATTCTGCCAACAACCTCCAGTCACATAATATCAGTTTGATGATGGGAAGTCATCCGTTTTAGCGTGGTGACCATATTGTAAAATTGATTAACAGAGTTTAATCCGCATCAGTGTATAATATCAGAAATACAGTATTGATTTCTGCTATTTGTTCTTCGAATCCACCGCATTGATCCGAATTTGTTTCATTTACAAAACAGTCATCATCTGAAGGTTATTATTCAGACATTTTGTAAAAGAAGCTCATTCCACATTTGGGGATGTGGTCATTGGCTTAATTACTTGTCTTTCAGTTAGTTAGTCCTGGGTTCGTATCCCACTTGACCTTCAGTGGTGAATAACTAGGTAGCAACAATTTTGGTTCACATCCTGGTGCATGAAAATCCTATCCGAGGTAGTTAACTGGTAGCATAACATAAATAACTAGTACTTTTTGAATGTCCTATGCTTCTGATGTCATTTGGTTAGTTTCGGACCAACGAAACAACCCTTTATTATTATTATTTCCTTGGGTCTCAGCAAAACATCTCTATATTTCACCCTATTGTATCTGGAGTGTTTTCTAGCTGGTTCCATGTCGCCCTTAAAGCGATGCCCGAATTCGAGTTCTACTTGGGGACCTTGCTAATGATGTCTTTCAACGGTCTCCCCCGCGTATTTCCGAGCCATCTTCATTTCTTTCGAAATGTTTGTTGGCTAATAATTTCGTGGTTGGTTCGTTCCCAGACATCCTTGTCACTTATCCTGCCCTATTGGTCATCTGTTGTTCCTTATTTCAGCCAAGGCGACTTTTCATAAAAGTAGTGGAAATGCTTTTGATGACGTACACTAAGTTTCTGAACCATAGTGAAGAGCGAATTTGAAATGAGTATTGAAAAGTTGGATCTTGTTACTGCTTCTGACTACAACAGATGTATACATTGATTACACAATAATGAACGTCTTTCTCGCTTTTCTGAACCTACCTTAAATATCCTCACTCATGCGGCCTGTAGTTGGAATGATGCTGCTTAGATGATGAGTGAAAGAGAGGTAACTCTTTTGATTCATTTAATTTTTCCCCAATGTTAGTTGCTATTCGATTTCTTCCTAAATATTTTATTCTTTTTTTCGTTCTGCTATGATGTAATAGCTGTCTAGAATTATATTTAACTTCATGTCGAATCGCCTTAGATAGGGCTCTCTGTTTCTAGGAGAAAAAAGCCTGCTAGTAAATTTATGGAGTCTGTTGTTTGTGTATGTGTGTGCGTGTGTGGATTGACAGATACAACTGTCATGGCGTAAACTTTCAAAAAAAAATTTTTATAAAGAAATGCTACAAATTGGTTTCATCTAGTTATATTTATCGATTGA